AACCCAGCACTGAGTGCACCGAAGATTATTGGTGCCTCGCTGCAACAACAGCTTCTGAAAAAGAGAGGTTTTCTTGGGTTTATGTTTACCGAACCGAGAGAACCATACTACAAGCTATCAAGCATACCGCGAATGGCCTATGTCGGTGCGCAGAAAATTTTTCACAATAGAATTTCCCTTCGGGAGTGGAACTACACCTTCATCCCCGGCTCCAACGAATCTATCCGAGTTACCCCCACATATTGGAATAGCTTTGAGTATCTGGCATTACATTTTTCTGAAACGGACGGTCAGTTTCAAGACCTCATCATGTGGGAACAACTTACGGACGAAGCACGCTTGGCGCTCAATTCTGCAGATTTCGGCGAGTCGAAGGTCCCCTTTAACGATGAGAACATTGAGGAGACACTTGAACTTGCATGGGCGTTTCCATAAGCAAAATAAAAATTCCATCACTCGAGCTTTTAACAATGGTTGTGGTAGGTGATGATTTTGATTTTTTTAAAAAAAATTGCCGCTTTTCAAAATATCCTAAATGAGCCGCGTCGCCTTCATCTGCACTCCATCAATCGCAGTCTGGATGTCTTGGAAAGCCTTTCCTTCCGTCAACTCTAACGCAGCGGAATCGTTGTCCGCCAGCCATTCACCGGCCTTCGTTGCCAGGTATAGCTACAAATGACGGGGTCCATCCTTGTAAGGGAACTTCAGAGCCGTCGCGATGATCGCAACCTTCAATGCGGAAACCGACTCAGTGTCGCCGATCTTCACTTCAAGCGCGCTTCCCCGCTGGCCCAGAATTGTACAGAAAAGATTAACTATACATTGGCACCGATTCTAGGATGAAAGATAGAAGGGCACAAATTAATAAACGGACTTTACCGAAAGGGTGACGTCACAGGTAGCCGTTGTAGAGTTTATTAAACTGCCACAAGTATCGATGTTCGCAGCCATCACTTTACTGTATCACGGTAAGTTGCGATGACCCTTCATGATTATATGGGTGTTTCTGAATATAGATGTTGATCGATATCTCCATCAGTTGACCGTCGGTAACCTTATTGATTGCTTCGAAATAACGTCAGTTTGAACCCGTTGATTTTGTTGAATTTTCCGAATATAGACCACCAATCGAATAAAAAACTCGGAAATAAATTTCAGACATCATTATCCTTGTCGCGCTATGAGCAATCTCAACGAATACTCAAAGAGAAAGCTTACAGGCCTCAAAGCCATAAACACTTAACTGTACTCGTCCTCTGGTTTTCAGTGCCAAGGGGGAAGTTTGCTAACCTTAATATGGTAAGCGACACTATCAGAAACCTGTTCTGATAACCAGTTACATTATAAGTCATGAGACATCTGTGCAACACTGCCACTATACACTGACATTAATGGCGTGGTTATTAGCATAAAACTTCACTGGAGCCAAGGACACTGTCGTGATCAAAAGACTCCCGGCTAGATTAGTATCGACCGTGACGTTGGAGGCTCGCCGTTGCAGAAGAGCAGAAAAAATGGTAGATTGCCGTGCCAAATTGCCTGGTGCGATCGACTTCGACTTCCTTATCGTAGATTCTACACACCGTGGAGAATCACACGCCTCTGCACGGACCTATGTGGGCGAAAAAAAAACTCGTTGTTCTAAATTATCTTGGCTAACACCGGTGTTGAGTTTGCCAAGATATTGCAAATGCTGAAAATAGCACCAAACACGCTGATATTAAATCGATATGAATATCCACCTCTAGTGCTATGCAAAAACTCTCGCAAAACTTTCGTTGCTAATACAAATGCTAAGTTCGCCTAGCAAACTATCATTTTATTATCACGAAACAGGAAACTGTTACCGCTGATACAGGAGTCGGATGTTTCTCAGTCCTAAATGTCGTAATAAATATTTCTCTTCGCAGCTCGCTGAGGAGCTCGGGCTCTTAAGCTCAACGACGCAAATACCTTGTGGGTTTCTGTGGCTCGGTGCGCTTGCCCCCTCTCGCCTTCGTTAATCACAGTAAAAGTGTTATGTAGGGCAGCTAGGGCCGATTTCCTTCCCTAAATCGCGTAGAATGAGTGGGTGACTTCCAAAAATCGCACACATGGTGATTCGTGTCGGTCTCAAGCTTTGTGTCGAGTTTGGTTCACCAGTTGTGCGATATTTGATCGCTATTTGTGCGCCACATGCCTTGAATAAAACAATTTGATGCAGATGATCACAAACACTTTATTTTTATTTCGCATCAATGGCGTTACAGGCATTCTCCAATTCACGCTATTTCGACCAATATCGTTGTGTTTTCAGTCAAATGCAACGCTTCCTCAGACCTTTTTTTTGCGTTTTACGTTCGCTTGCACGGATACGTACTTAGGGCCGTTATTAGCAAGCGAAAAATGGTGGATTTGGCTCTAGTGGCCCAATAGAATCCCAGGGATCCACATGTTGGTGGACACCGGATGGGGCCACCAAAACGGAATCAGATCCACGTCCACCGTCGAAAATTAGGGGTGATGGCCGTGGACGGAGGGTGGACGGAGGGAATACACACCATGCTGGGGTGAACCACGTCAGAGGTAGAGATAGCAACGGGATAGAATAGTATCTTTGCACGGCACTGTCGTGTTCACTCCATCTTTTCTACTCAAGATCACAATCGCCTCAGCTCTCCGGCGTACACTGTCCAATATGTCATCCAGCGCTGCAACTCAACAGGCCATGCCTAGCATCGCCGATATCCTCTTCGACGCAACTGTTACCCCAGAGGATGCTGAAGCAAAATTGACGACGTTTGGAGCCAAGCAGTTGCGGACTGAGTGCTACTTGCGGCAACTTCGCATTGTTAAGAAGGGACCTGACTGCAATGACCACAAGGTTGGGTACGTAGCGCTACTCATGCAGCAAAAGCGTGTATTCACTGAAATGCAGAGACTTGGAGTTGAAGACGGTCCGTCCAAGATACCAGTTGCCGCTGGAATCAAAAGACGTACTCGACACTGTATGATACGCCTTCTGAACGTCATGTTTTCTGAGACTTTTGCGGGCCGAGTGCACGAAATTGACGGCAAACCAACTCGTGCAGAGCTAGATTCTAACCAAACCCATGCCAGCTCCTCGTTTTGGACGGGCTTTCATGACGCCTATCTTAGCGATCAAGCTGAATTCGGCAAACTCAACTCGACGCTCCCCTTGTTTGCCAAGTGCAACCCAGCCATTATTGTACCTCATGACGCAGCAAAACTTCGTGATATGTGGAAGGACGTCAGTAGTCGATACAATACTGCTCTTGCTAACTCCCGCGTGTCAGGTACACACGACAACGACTTTTTCTCCTTTTGTTCCGGGAAGATCGACGTTATGTACATGCACGAGTGGCTAATCATCAAGCCCGGGGTATTGGAGACTGTAGAAGGCAAGCTTCCTAAACGCGCCCGGCTGCAAACCATGGATACAAGCAGTGACAGCGAAAGCGAGATTTCGAGAGAGTCCAAGAGGAAGTGCACCCGATCCAGGTCCAGCCCAAGCAAAGATGATATGGTGTCAGAAATTTTGGAGACGATCCGGAGTAGCAACAACTCCGCTGAGGCATTGGAGATAGATTGTCGCTTTGCTCAGCTTGTCTCCACGTTGAGCTCTCTGCTTTCACTACGAGAGCGGATTATGAACGCACCAGACGGCTGCTACACAAAATATGACCTTCAAGAAGTCAACGATGATATTGAACATGTTCGAGCTAAGAAGAAAGCGTTGTTAAAAGACCAGTCGGCCGAGTAGATGTACGTTCGAGCAAAAACGAAGGAGCTGTTAAAAGACTAATCGTTCCAGTACATGTATACGAACTACTCAGCGTTGCGACGTTTGTTATACTGGGGTCTAACGGATTGATTCGCTCGAAGTGTTTCCACAATGAAGTCCCTCATACTGCTGCGCCCTTCTTCGACTCGAAGATCACTTGACATGTACCCCATCAGATTGGCAACATCATTGAACTTTCGAGTTCGGCTTGGTATCCGAAGCGGTCGGATAGTCTCATCAAAAACGCAATAGTCGTTGTCGTTGGCCATGCGCTTGTTGATAACGTAGTTGTGGAGCACCATAGCGATGTATATGGCCTTCGTGGCGTTGACTAAGTTACGCTCTATTGGAAACCTGAAAATTCTCCACTTCGTCGTTAGAAGTCCGAATGCCATTTCGATCCGTATTCTCAATTGGCTAGCGTGAAAGTTGAACGAGTCATGATACTCATCCATTATCTGGTTGCGAGAAAACGGCGTGAGTAAATGCTCACCTACAGAGTAAGCATTGTCTCCAATAATGTACATCCCAGTAGGAAGATTATTCAATGCCCTGGAGACACCAGTGTCACGAAATGCACGGGCATCATTGGTGCTACCTGGAAAACTAGCATCGACTGCAATAAACCGACAGTGAGCATCACAAACGGCTTGTACATTAATGCCAGGGCAAGCGTAATGACCACTATAGTAGCGACCCACACCGACTTCGCCAGCATCAGCAAGGGTTGGTGTCTTTATACGACAAAGCCAACCATCAACACAACCAATGCATCCACTCATTACACCACCACTGCTGATGTTCTTAAACGCCTCCATCACAACCTCTTTCTCCGAGTCCGAATTGGGGAAAGTTATCTGAAGCTCCTCAAGAGCAAGAATAGCATCCATTGTCAGATCGATCACACGATAGTACGAGGGCGCACTAATGCCAACCGTACGACGTATATCAAGGTATGATCCCCCCGCCAGGTATCGCAACGTCGTCATTAGCATTATCGAAGGCGAAATAGGTGCTTCGCCACTCGAATTAGTTGAGTGCCGCTCTGATACAGTGAGGGCTTGTGTAACTCTCCACAGTAAATGACTAAAACTTTCCGCAGGCATGCGAAATGTCCGTTCAAACATGTTTTCATTTAGTAACATCTCGACTTCATAGTCCACATCGACCCGCTGCCGTGACACTCTCGGCTTCCTTGGTCGTCGCCACGTCAGTGCAAAGAGAAGTAGTGCAAGGCGAGTGTTCTTTTGTTGTCGAAGGCGTCGAGCGACGGAGATGACGTCTTGCGCGATCATGTCTGCGCTGTACGAGTTTTCAATTTCTGTCGTTTGAAAGCGTCGAAGAGAAAGTGGACTTGCTGTAGCGCGCTTTTAGATCTAAACAGATGTCTTCAACGTAGATGTCAACCATCCCGCCCTCAACTGATCCACCTGTACCGACCACTAAGTTTAGCTCCGTTCGTAGCGGGTGGCGTGGTTGGACATGCATAAAAAGTGCGATCCACCAAAGAGCTCGTCCACTAGCAAGTTTTCGCTAATAACGGCCCTTAGTGTCTGCTCTCTTTTTTTCTGATCGGACACTTGTCATAACGTGATTCGTCTAAACGTGAAGGTAGGGCACAAGACGAGGAACGAAAACCAATGAAAGAATACGGTAAGCATTTCCTCGTACCATTGAATCGAGTAATGACTGCTGGATGATGAGCGATTCAACTTTTGAGCTTTACCGTTTGGATTTTTATCCTGGGATCGACCTGGATTACGATAGTAAATGAGCTCATACTATTCTGGCTATTATGTGCTATGAAGTCCTAATCATTCTTTAGAAGTCTGCTACAACTCGCACCTCATTATTCAATTCTGGCGGTATCGTTAACCATCTTGCTTGAGCGATGAATCTCGTAGCTGTCCTGCTCCTGTGTTTCGGACTAATCACATCTGCGTGTGCCGGCACTATTGACCATGATAAAGTCCAGCCATTCGCTCAGCCCGTCCCAGTCACGATTGCCGAAAAGGCTGCTGTCATGTTTAAACCACAACTTCACATTTCTCAAGGGTGCGTTTCATTCCCAGCCGTAAATGCTGCAGGTGAGATTAGCGGGGGTCTCAAGGGAACGAAAAACACGGAGGGCTGCACGGAAGCCCCTCTGGGTTCTCAAGTGT